AAGCTTTCGTGGACTACAGCCCACTTCTTCGGATGCATCCGAAGAAGTGGGCTGTAGTCCACGAAAGCTTGGGCTGTAGTCCACAAAAGCTTATGCTCTAATAAATTTGTTAGTCTCTAAGGTGCCACAAGTACTCCTGTTCTTTTTGCGGATACAGACTAACACAGCTGCTACTCTGAAACCTGTTACCACACAAAGGTTTTGTGTGACCAAAACATTGGGCCTGATTCTTCACTCCTTTACAGCTGGTATAGTCATTACACTGATGTAAAGTGGGTGTAAAATGAACAGTAGCAGGCATTTAACAGCCATTTTATCCAGGTATAAAGAACTACACAAGGCGTGAGGCAAACAAGAATCAGGTGTGTTGACTTTTAAGGAAAATAAAACATAATAAAAGTTAAGGCTAAACCATTGTGGTTTGAATTAATTAGTGCACAATGGAGAAACTTTGATCGCTTAAAATAATAAAGAAATTTACTTCATGTTCTATCTTCCTACGTGTTTTTGTAAGACACATTTTCAGAAATGACATGTATTTTAGATTGCAGGGATCACTTACCTTCAGTACCGTGTTGAATTCTGACACTGGTTACCAGGTTTGTTTGATTTTAATACATATATTAAAATTGTTGTAGCTTGGAATGTTAGAAGATTAACTGACTACTTCAGTTTAAGGTATATTTTATGGTGTTTTTTGCCACTCTGTTTTTCTCACTGTTTTCTTTTGGAGATTAATATGTCTAATTCACCTAGTAATAACATGGTGAATTTACTTTCTGTTTTGCAGCTTTTTCTATCCTTTCTTGAGTGCTGTCAATAGATGGCAGCTGATAATGAATCATGCACAGGGGAATTCCAACTCTCATAATAAAATTAACTCAAAGTATGCTGGACATTGGAGAGTTGCCAGAGGCAGTTCCTTGTTCCTCAAAAGGAAGTCCTATACAGAATTGTTCATTACACACAAGTTAATTTTAGAATTTATAATTAATTTAAAAGGGACACTGTAAAATTTGGGTGGCCCAAAATTTGACCTGACTTTTTATTTTTAAGTTAACCAATTCTTCACAGGGAAAACCCTGACCCAAAGGTCTACACTGCAATGTAAGCCCAGAGTTAGTAGAATTCAAATTAGCAGATCCTGGGTTTAATGTAGGGTTTGAGCAGATCCGAGACTTCCTAGTGCCCTCCCAAAATGTGGCTGCTCTAGCCATTTGTTCATAATGAAGTGTGGGAAAACATGACTGTGCAGCAAACTTGACTGTCCAGAGGACGAAGAAAGTAGGTCAGTGGGATACTTTTGGTGGACTACTTGAGCATGAGTCCAGTGGGGTTGCGTATACACTGCAAAGCAATAGACTTGAACCCTGAGTCCCAGCTTGACTCAGGGTCGGACTCTCCATCCCCGTGGAGTCCTGGGTCCAAGCTCTGGATTAGTGTGGTTTGTGTGTAGATGGAAGGAGGGTAGGCTTGAGCCTGAATTCAAACCCTGGTCTTACATTGCAGGATAGACATACCCTCAGTCTCCACAACACAGAGCCCACCAGAGCATAGATTCTGAAAAGAAAGATCCTACCCTTCCCTGGGGTGGGACTCCACCCATCCCAAATGCAACAGATGGCAATTAGACTCTCCTTTGGCTCAATGACTGGCAATCATTTGTGGATAAACCAATGGGTCACATGGCTGATTAGGGGTATGAAATGATTGCCATATGAGGAGAGATTAATAAGACTTGGACTTTTCAGCTTGGAAAAGAGACAACTCAGGGAGGAATGATAGAGGTCTATAAAATCATGACTGGTGTGGAGAAAGTAAGGAAGTATTATTTACTCCTCATAACACAAGAACTAGGGGTCACCAAATGAAATTAATAGGTAGCAGGTTTAAAACAGAAAAAAGGAAGCATTTTTTCACACAACATACAGTCAACCAGCTTCAAAATGGGTCTGTTAGCTAAGGAGCGGAACTAAGACTCAGTAAGCTGAAGAATCCCCAACAACCCCTCACACATGAAAATTTTGGAGATATGGTCCCTCTGTTCTTCCCCCTTTTCACCACTGGAGCAGCCCTATTCTAAATAAACACAGTTACTACAGTCTTAGGATGGACAGAGAAGGCTGGGAGAACTACAAAGCTCAACTGTTTTATGTGGCCAACGGGGTTTACATGATGTATATACCAGGAGTCAGGATTTGGCCCTGTATGATTTTGTTTTAAAGCAAATGTGCTTTCTCTTTAAAAAAAGAAATTCAGTCACCCAGCATTCATAGGATTAAATACTACCTTATAATGCACACTGTCATTCCTATATGCTTTAATAGGAGTTATACATTAGAATTTTATGGATGAACTTGATCCATAATGAACAACCCTATACTATGCAAATAGTCTAGTAATAAAGAAAAATCAGTAAGGAAACATTTCATTTTCAAACTTCCACAAGGTTATTGTAAAACACAGTAGTGGGTTAAAAACTAAAATGATATTTTAGAAAACTCATTTCAGATACCTTGACAGAGTCCTCTTGAAATGACTTAGAGTAGTTACTATTTTCATTCAGATATTTAATTATATTCATAACTTTCAACTCAGCTCTATAAATAGATTATATTTAAAATCTGTTTTACTCTTTAGAATCAGATTTTGTTTTTCAAAAACATGCAAAGTGCATTGGCTTTAATTTGCAATTTGTTGAATCCTAGATCTGCATAAATTCCATTTCTTGTGGAGCTCACAGTAGGGGCAGATGGGATGTAAGGGGTTGTTTATTCATCTACATCACTGAACATGCAAATAACCAGCCTACCCCGAAACGGATAGCTTTTCTAATCAAAAACTGTCCCAAAGGTAAAAGAAGAGAGTCTCAATGACAAGAGTGCCAGGACACAACAGCTGGTGTCCCAAGAAGCCCTCCCACTGTATTTGCTTTGAGTTCATAAATAACAATATTCTTTATTCATATTTCCAAGGAAAATAACGCATTTCATTGTTATGGGACCCTGCAATTTTTTACTGGAACTATTAAAACATTTAAAGGGAAATCCAGTTTGCAAATTTGCAAACAACAAAATGAATAAAGTCTCTACATAAAAGTTGGTTTCCTCAGATGAGACGTCATAGTAATTTAATTTAAGTGTTTCTAATGATTGAGCTCCCAAAAATGTTCAGGCAATGGGGTCATTAAATTGGCTGAAAATTCTACCATTCCTTTCTGGAATAAATATGCTGAATCTTGCTGAAATGAGTGATATAGTGTCACTATTATCAAGGAGGAAAATAAACCTCATTACACTGAAATTAAATTATCTCAGCCAATCAGAGTGCAGGAAACTGGCACTACTGATGTGTGATATTCAGGTTTTTCTCATGCTTGATTTGCAAAATCACAGTGGTACAGATTTTCAAAGGCATTTATGTGCCTGACTTCCATTAACTTTCAATGGAAGTTAGGTGCCTAATTGAAAATCTTTCCCTATATGATAATTTCTCAATAACTGTACTGTG